AGTTTTTTTTATTTTTGTATTCCGAAGGAAAGTATAGGCTACCTAATTTGAGAAAATATTAGCTATTAAAAAAATAGATTTCAGCTCACCTTATGTTGCATTTTAAAATATTTTAGAAAATGGAATAATTTAAAATTTAACGTCAAATTTAAAAAATAACCGCTACGTGTCGCTTCTACAACAAAATTTTTTAAGAATCCCCGCGTTTCTTTATGAAACGAGAGTGTAGCGAAATGACGTCACGAGGAGTGTTGGCCAATTAGAAACCAGTTTCAGTGTGTTCGCTGTAAAGCGCTTCTCGAGCGCTGCATAAAGAAACGCGTAGAACACGTTTCATAATAACCACGTGACATCTTATTATCCAATCTGAAGTAACGATCTAACAAACCTATTAGTTAAAATGTATTAATATTAGAAATTTTATCTCTCTTATTGAATTTCTTGAAATGTCTACTTTTCTGAATTCTCCGAATTCTTCCGAATAATCATCCATAATATTACAAGTGCTTATATTCCTTTGAAATATGTTTAAAAACTTTTAAGATTTTATAAAAGACTATCCTCAACAGGAACTAAAAACAAATACATATAGTCTTAACGTAATGCCTGCAATATATTTTCAATCTATTAAGATTCATAAATCTAATTGATTTTTATAATGGTTTGGCTCTAACTACTCATATTGAGTTCATAAAAAGTATATTATTTGTCGAGCATATTTAAACTTATCAAATTAAAATGAAAATACATTCATAAACGCATTTATAATTTAATTTAATCGTATTTATTATAAAACATTAAAGCAAATTTTTATATCACATTCTTAGAAAAATTTTAAATAGTTTTTAAAATATTTGTTGCTCTTGTTAAGTAATTTAATTGTAAAGCGTTATATTTCGAACTAGCGAAAAAAAAAATTACGCGGGATAATTTTTACGCACACTATGATCGCTAAATACGCTTTCTTTTGTCCGAATAGCCGAGCGGTCAAGGTGGCAGCCTATCGCTCTGGGAAACCCGGAATCGAATCTGGACGGGTCAAGTAATCCCCAGGAATCTTTCGGGGCTAGTCTGTCTGGATATGTAAGGCCCCGTCCCTCACCACCCGGCCGCCCGATTGTGGGCCTGGCCGAACCCATAATTGGCTTGCCAAAAGAGGCCATCTTAGTGCCCACTGGGCGGAAAGAGTTAAAAAAAAAAACCCGCTTTTTTCAAAAATTAAAATAAGATATATTACAATATCTTAAAATATCTATAAATATTTAAAAATAAGTTTTTAAAATACTATAGCTTTGGCCAATTAATCAACAAAATAAATAAATCATTATTAATCAAAAGTGTTTCGTATTAGGTTCGATATGAGGATTTCATCAAGCAGACGACAGGATTCCACTAGTGTGCATTATAATGTTTTACTCCTATTTAATTTAATAGAAATAATTTTACACGACAAATCTATTGAATTTATTAAAAAGTAATGAAATTTTTCAAATTTTAACTTTCGTTTAATGAAGACGTATAACATATATTTATAAATAAAGATATTGTGAATTAAAAAAGATTGATTTCGACAGAGGTCGTCCTAGTCCTTGAAAATGTCGCTATATACGAAGTCGTGTCGAAAGAAGTCAAGATTAGATAATTAGTGTAAGTTGTTTATCATGCCATTTATGTTTCATATAATCATTAACTCGTGTGATTTTAAGATTGGAATATGGTCACAGTTAAAATTATTGCATTTCAATGACTACTTTCGTAGTTAGTTATGTCCAAGGTCATGGCTACTCGCTTTCTTCACCTTCGACCATTCATCAGAAGTTTAAGCAATTCTTACGGCTTGCCAAAGTTAAGTCCTCAAGAGGTAATTATTAATTTTAAATTATAATTTACAGCTATATTTCTTGACTTAAATTAAAATGTTTAACATTTAAATATAGTAACTGATACAGTATATTGATATGTATTGTTTTTGTATAGGTGAGTTATGTTTTGAGTGCTAACGAAATATATTATGACGTTGCACCAGGATCTGTGAAGTGTTTTGAAGCAAATCAGTTACCTTCTAATAATCCAATTGAAGATAGACTAGCAGCAGGACATTGTAGACTTACAACTGGGATGCTTTTTGGTGTTTTTGATGGTCACGGAGGACAAGACTGTGCTGAAAATATCAGTAAAAGACTTCTCGATTATATTGCCCTGTCTATGTTACCCTCAAAATTACTTAACGACTATGTAGAATCATCCGGTAATGTGGAATTAATAGAAAGATTTCCTCTTGGTGATGAAAATAATAATTTTACAAATGATGTACATAAAGCTAGTTTGCAATTGTTTGCAAAAGAGTTATTAATGGAGAAATTGTCGTCGTCGGAATTTTTTATGCATCGGGCGATGGTACGTGCATTTTCAAAATTGGATGAAGATATGTCTAGGGAAATATTGGAAGCTGTTGAGAAACATAATTTGAATGCAATATCAAGTTCTGTGATGGGTGCTTGTGCATGTGTTGTTCATATTGATGGTACACATTTACATCTTGCAACATGTGGAGATTGTAAAGCTGTTCTTGGTATGCTAAGTGATGATAACAAATGGATTTGTAAGCCATTAACACAAGAGCATAATTTTGATAATGTTAATGAATTAAAAAGAGTATTTTCAGAACATCCAAAAACAGAATTGAATGTAGTAATAAAAAATGAACGCCTCTTGGGACAGTTGGCACCTCTCAGAGCATTTGGTGATTATAATTATAAATGGAAAGTTAAACTTCAACAAAAGTATTTAGTTCCAGTATTTGGTCCTGGAGTTATTCCTCCTAATTTCTATACACCGCCCTATCTAACAGCAGTACCAGAAGTAATTCATTACAGATTAACACCTAGAGATAAATTTCTAGTAATTGCTACCGATGGATTATGGGAACAGATGTTACCATATAAAGTGATAAAATTTGTTGGACAGCATACAAGTGGGAAACAAACTTTAGATTTATTACGACTTCCTCGCAGAAACATGGTATTAAAAGATATTTACAATATATTATTACAGAGACAAGTTGGTCTTTCAAAAAAACCCATTGATTCAAATGCAGCAACACATCTAATTCGTAATGCTCTCGGCAGAACAGAATATGGTATAGAACACAGTAAACTTTCGAGTATGCTCACATTACCTGATGATTTAGTTAGAAACTTTCGAGACGATATATCAATTTTAGTGATATATTTTGATTCGGACTTCTTAAGGCATTCTCCACCCGAATAAATTATACGAATCTCGGAATGTTTCCATTAACTTGTAAGTTGTGAATTCTTTATATCTATAATAAAGATATATTTATTTATTGAAAACTTAGCTGAAAAACAGTAACAATGAAATAAAATTGATATTGTTATACAGTATATATACATACAAGTATGTAAATACATGAAATTATTTTTGTGCCAGATAATTTGTTGGAATCATATATGACTTGTTCCTTATTATATTTTAAGAATTTATTGTGAAGATTATTGTATTATAATAATTTACATATAGTATATTGAAAAATTATTTTCAATAATATAAATGTTCTCTTTGAATTATAACATAATTTAAATTGAACAGTGTAATGTATAGAATGTAAATATTAAATTATTAATTTAGAAAAATTTTTAAACTAAGTAAATAGATGTATTAGTATATACATTCAGTTCATATTTAGAAAAGGAATTAGAATAACAATTATTAAATAGACACAACAATGCCAAATATTTTATTTGTACAATCATCAGATTTCATATTCATTGTGCTTTCACAATTCATATTTTCTTACATAATGTAAATGGAAGTATCAGTGACCTCAACAAGATTTTCAGTGTCATTAATCTATTTATTAAATGAGGTGACAGACCTTATCTCTGCAGGATTATCCAATGCTGTGAGTTTTTCTGACTGAATGTATCATGATAAGCACATGGTTTATGAAGTTATAATGAATGATAGATTACTTTATCAGTTTTGATAACTTTTTCTCTTAATTTTACAAACTCGTCGCAACAATTTTGCAATTTTTTCTATTAGATTCTGTTTTGTAACATGATAACTTATCAGTTCATTATAATTAGAAATTATAATTAATTCTATTTACAGAGCAATTTAGGAAATAAAATATTCGTTTATTTGTTTAACTTAGATTACTATTGCATAGGAATAATTTTAGTAACAGTAAAACTTCTGTTAAGCAAAAGAAAATTTCAAATTTGAAGAATTCTGAGAGAGAGAATATTATTTATCATTAATAACTTGTTTATTGGAATTAACTGTTACTTATGAAAAACTGTCATAGTAGTACTAACTCTGGTAAGAATGAATTAGAATTTATTTTAATCCACATTTTGCTTAGTCTTCAATTAGTTTTGAGATTGCTTAGTTTCCAATTAATTGCATCCTTAATTTCAGAACTAAGATTTCAATAATGACTGAATAATTATAATTTTGATAAGGCGGAAGTACTATTAGAATTAAAAAATCAAAGTTTTCCAACTATGTTTGTGACGCATCAAAATCAAATGTAAGCTCATCCATTATAAAGTGACCTTTATCTTAGAAATTTGAGATATTTTAACTACTTTTCCTGTTCTTCCATTATAGATCTTATTCTTATTAATTTACTTTATTCTTTAATAGTAATGATAATACGGCTTTTAAATATTCTTTTAATATATATTCACTATGGATTTTAATCATAGTAAGAAAAATATTAATAAAGAGTTAATGCAAATGGTCACTTTAGGCTAGGATAAAATCAATACTATTAATTTCTCTAATTTAATTTGATTACAAATGCATGACAAGATTAGATATTCAATTCTAATTATTATAATGCTTCAAACATTGAATCAAAATAAATACCTCACTATATATATTAATTTACTTTTTTTTTAATCACAGCTTGATACTTATATAAGGTAATTATTCATTATAGTAAATTTTTATTATAAATGATTGCCAATTTTATAATACACTATTTAAAAATTTAATTTTTTTAGTAATCAGTGTACAAATATCAAATCAGTATTGTATACAAATTTTAATTAAAGACTATAAATACCAAAACTTCTCCTTAGAGCAAAGGTGAATCCGGAGAAAATCTTAACAGGAGCGATTTTTAATTCATATAGTGAAATAATGCAGACCTATAAACGCATTATTGTTTTAATGATTACTTGGAATAAACTATGCAAATTTAAGTGACATAATATATATATTTTAAAGAAATGAGGAAGCTCATGTGGGCATTCACCTTCCTACATTAATTTGTGTTATAATATCTGTCAGATTCAAATTATAACATAATTTAAATTGAACAGTGTAATGTATAGAATGTAAATATTAAATTATTAATTTAGAAAAATTTTTAAACTAAGTAAATAGATGTATTAGTATATACATTCAGTTCATATTTAGAAAAGGAATTAGAATAACAATTATTAAATAGACACAACAATGCCAAATATTTTATTTGTACAATCATCAGATTTCATATTCATTGTGCTTTCACAATTCATATTTTCTTACATAATGTAAANTAAACTATGCAAATTTAAGTGACATAATATATATATTTTAAAGAAATGAGGAAGCTCATGTGGGCATTCACCTTCCTACATTAATTTGTGTTATAGTATCTGTCAGATTCAAATTATAACATAATTATATGATTTTATAGGCTTGAGAAGTCTGAGGATGTAATTTTGATCAGATGAGTCAATCAATCGTTTCCATCTTATGACGTGACAAAAATTTTGTTTAAAGAATATGCTATGTATTAAATCTATTATTGATTTAAAAACACATTCAATACATTTTAATTGTTTTTCCAAATCTAATATATTAAAATTGATAAAATTTCTTAAGAAATTCTGAATAAATTTATCAAATAGTGTTATAAAAGTTCTGACAATTTTGATAAATTTTATGTTTATTGCCCTTTCACATGTTAAGATATAGTATACAGAATTCTATTATTATTATTGACGTTTTATTTTTTTGTTGTTGGTAACGAAATTGTATTGTTCAGAATGAGGACAAGTCAATATGCCTCATAGTTACTCTTGTATTTGTCTGGCCTTCAAATAATAGTTTGACCTTGATTTAAAAAAAACAATGTAGTTATGACGAGGAAATTCTGATGAATTATCCAGATACATTAAGCTTTACATGCATTGAAAATGTTTATGAATTTTTTTGAAGTTAGATTAGTCATCCTTCATTTACAATGGAACAATAAAATGTTTTAATTTTACTGGCCATTTCTGTACAGTGTTTAGCTTGTGTACTTAAAATTTGTTGTTGTTTTGATTTAAATTTTATGAATAAAGTTTATTAATTTCAGTTTTTTCTTTTCTTTCTTGGCCAACATATGGAAACATCCAATTTTATATATTTGTATTAAGCTTGCCAATTTCCGAACAGTTGATTCTGGGAGTTTCCCATTCTAGAAGTAAAAAAAAATTGCCAGAGATTTCACGTTTTTTATGTCAGCAATATCAAAACGTCGTCGCTTATTCTTTAGTCTATTTTAATTTAATAAATAAGCCAAAAGGTGATCGTCTTGTTGAGTAAATACAGGAAGAATAAGCCTCAATTTAGGGATCCGAGAATTTAGAAAGTTTTGCAAAATTTCGGGAGTCTCCCGGGGAGTTGGCAATCATAATACTGGCTATTTTGATAATCAGTTGCACAATTCCAACTAAAAAAAAGAAAGAAAACATTGATGTTTATATCATCGGGATCTAATTTTAAAGCATCTAATCACCTCTTGGCAATCCCAGTTGGAGGGGAGGAATAACGAAAAACACTTGACTGTTCTTACAAAGGAATTTTAGGGAAGGAGAACGTACAAAATTAATTTCAAAATATTTGGTTCATAAACAAATATGTCAACAGCGAAATATGATTAATAGTATTGAATTCAACAAATAAAAGTACAAAATTATGAGAATAATTTCTAATTTTATACAGTAATACCCCGAACTTACGCGATAGGTGGGACCGAGCGGTAATCGCGTAAGTCGAGGTATAATTTCGCATATAAATACACACAAATAATTTTTAATTGGGGCCGGAGACTAAAGAAAACAATAATTTAGAAAAATTTTTAAACTAAGTAAATAGATGTATTAGTATATACATTCAGTTCATATTTAGAAAAGGAATTAGAATAACAATTATTAAATAGACACAACAATGCCAAATATTTTATTTGTACAATCATCAGATTTCATATTCATTGTGCTTTCACAATTCATATTTTCTTACATAATGTAAATGGAAGTATCAGTGACCTCAACAAGATTTTCAGTGTCATTAATCTATTAAATGAGGTGACAGACCTTATCTCTGCAGGATTATCCAATGCTGTGAGTTTTTCTGACTGAATGTATCATGATAAGCACATGGTTTATGAAGTTATAATGAATGATAGATTACTTTATCAGTTTTGATAACTTTTTCTCTTAATTTTACAAACTCGTCGCAACAATTTTGCAATTTTTTCTATTAGATTCTGTTTTGTAACATGATAACTTATCAGTTCATTATAATTAGAAATTATAATTAATTCTATTTACAGAGCAATTTAGGAAATAAAATATTCGTTTATTTGTTTAACTTAGATTACTATTGCATAGGAATAATTTTAGTAACAGTAAAACTTCTGTTAAGCAAAAGAAAATTTCAAATTTGAAGAATTCTGAGAGAGAGAATATTATTTATCATTAATAACTTGTTTATTGGAATTAACTGTTACTTATGAAAAACTGTCATAGTAGTACTAACTCTGGTAAGAATGAATTAGAATTTATTTTAATCCACATTTTGCTTAGTCTTCAATTAGTTTTGAGATTGCTTAGTTTCCAATTAATTGCATCCTTAATTTCAGAACTAAGATTTCAATAATGACTGAATAATTATAATTTTGATAAGNACGCGACGGCTTCTTCTCCCGAAAGTTCCAAGTGACGGATCCGTTGTTGAGTGTGTGTCTCGCACCCATCTTCGTCTCCATCTCACGATCTCGGATCGACATCTTTCCATCAACGGAAGTCGACCGCATCGTCCGGAGTCGTCGAGACGTGATGGAATGGTTCATTCGCCAACAAGGGACACTCCTTCAAAATGGGACTATCTTGGAAAGGAGAGGAAGACCCAGAGGCCGCAACCGCCGCAGAACTTCCAAGATCGTGGACAATTTTGTAAGCTTCTTTCGTGTTTAATAAACGGTTGTGTTGTTTGTAAACGAAGCATTTATCTCTGACTCAACTGCTTCCACATGTCGTTGATTGTTACCGCTCGGCTATCCAAACGGCAAGGGAGACGATGACGATATATATCGCCTATTATCGTTCGTCGAATAGTTTTTTTTATTTCTCCCCCCCTCGGCCCCCACATATATAATTTAATTTTTGTAAACAAACGAAAGAATAAAAATTTGAAGAAAAATTAAGTAACGTAGAAAAT